GGTTATGGTCAAATTCCTTTAAGGATTAAACAAGTCAGTGATCTAAGTTAAAGGGGGAAAAATGCTGCTTTTTCTAGTGTGGTTTATTGTGTTATTCCTTAAATTTCTATTACTCCTTTGTGGTACATGTATGTATGTACTGGTATATTGAGCCTCAGCTTTGCATAGTAACTGTACAGTTCATGAGTTTGCACCCATAGTATGTAGAACAGAATGTCAAATTGTATCCTGTTTCAGGTTCTATAGATCCTATAAACTCTGTCATTGATGGGACTCGAAATCTTTCTGACATGTTTTGTTTGACGAAGAGATTGTCAAATTTCAAAATTTACTGTGTATGTCTAAATGAAGCCATAGATCTGTTAGAGTTGTTAAGTAATGTGACCTATTGCTTTTCTTCCTCCAGATCGGTAAAATACTACCCCAGAGGTTACCAAATCTAAGAGGAAATGTAAGTTCAATTAATTTAAGGATACTTTTTAAAGAGCTACTTTATTATGCCTTGCAAAATCACCCTTAACTGGAATGAGGGTATTAGCTGTTTTGTTTACAAGAGTGAAAAAGGCAAGATGAGAAAGATCAACCCTTAACACCTAACATCAGTATGCATATTCTCCATACTATTCACTATACATTTCCTAAGCTGCTGAAAAAGGAGAAATTGCTTAACAATCAAGAGCTCCAGCGACCTTTAGTTGGTGGTAGTTGGTGATCATTTCCTTAATTTTCCTGACCTTAATGTTTGATTTAGGGATGATCTTGTAAGGAGAAATTAGATGCTAGTCACTCTTACGCGAAGTTAAAAAATCTTGGCTAAAATTTTCAGTGATAAAGTAAGCGTGACTCAACCTCAATCGGCACATTGTGCACACATACACACGCAAGTCCGTCATAGCCGTTCTTTAGTCTTGTCGCGATGTTTAGTCTTGAACACCCAACGCAATGCAACAATGAAAGAAAGGTCTTCTTCTAGATGAGACCAATCAAGAGCTGCGAAGCAGGGTAATGAATGGTGGGTTGTTCCAAAATTTATGGTGGGTAGATATAGGCCAAAGGGATTTGTAACTTTTATAACAGCTATTATCAATACTAATAGTGACGTTGTAGCACAACAATAACTAAAATTGAGGTTTTTATTTATTTTTTCAGATGTCTCTTCAGACTGGAGCCCCTCCGCCCGACGAATCTTGTACAATGTCTGTAAGTGATGTTCTTTATACTCACTTCCCTAAATTTCGTGCTCTAGGAAAGGCAGTTCATCGCCAAATAAGACAGTGCATTCCGCTGATCCTAGCAGCCGGTGGGACTCACGTTACATAATCACCCACCATGAAGCATGAAAGTTATACGCTTGGCAATTTTTTCTCTTCCAGGAATTAATTTTTGCGAAGACGTAAAATGTCTGACTTTCGTAACTTGACGAGTTTCAGCACACTCCACTTTGTATAGAAATAGTACTGGATGATATTACGATCTAGTACAATCTAGTACGATCTAATACGATCTAGTACCAACTAGCACGATCTAATACGATCTAGTACCAATTAGTGCGATCTAGTACGATGTAGAACGATCTAGTACGATCTAGTACGATCTAGTACGATCTAGTACGATCTAGTACGATCTTCCTCTTCAAATACCTCAGTAGGTGAAACAAAAAACTTGACCCGCCTCCCACCGCCCTTTTTAGTGCTCCCGTTGGTTCCACAAAGGTAGCACAATAACTTATTTTCATAAATTTGTCGCAGATTAAATTCAAGATCTCCCAGCTCGCAGCCTCAGGCCTCAAAGTCAGCAGATTGGATATTTATGGAGAGGTAAACTGAATAAACTTTGGTGTCAGAGTGATAATCACGTTAATTTTCAGGTGTTTCCTTTTAAACATCAGAACCACCAGTTCCACCTCCAGGTCTCTCTATCATAACGCGAATCGGTTAATATTTTTAACCTTTTGACTCCCAGAAGTGATCAACATGAAACTTCTCTCTATAATATCAATACAATATACAGCAAACAAGTGATGAGAATACTAAAAATTATCAGGTAGAAGTTTTTATCTTGATCCAACGCCAAATTCCTCAACCAATTTATGTGTAGCAGCTGGAGGGGAAAAATTATAATCAGATCTAAGATTTAAAGGGTTTAGAAAGAAATCTTAAAGCACCGATATCAATGGAATATTGGATTGTAATGTGCACACGACTCAGGGGTGAATTTTCAGCAATCGGCTTGATCATACAAACTGTTTCTATCACCAAACAGAGGCTATTCTTTGCTGTCGCAGGAAAATCGACAAGTGCGTTCAATGTTCCCAAACAACTTCGTAGACATGTAGCGCAACCGAAGGGCTACGTTTTTTTCTCTCACTGTCGGGGGAGTTAAAAAGTGTTAAAGATCCATTCGCATGCATTTATAGAGTAACACTGTGTTCCCACCAATACACCCTTTATGCCCTGACATCAGTATGCATATTCTCCGCACTGTTCTCTATACATTTCCTGAGGTGATGACGAGGAGTTTTGCTTAACAATCAAGGGTTTCTTTAGTTGGTGATCATTTCCTTTGTTCTCATGACCTTAATGTTTGATTCAGGGGCGATATTGTGAGCAGAAATTTGATCCTGGTCGCTATAAGGGGTTGATGGGTCAAAGATTGCTTTGACTGTAGACTTGGCTTTAAAGAAGATAATTAATTGGAAGTCGTGTTTCAGAGCATCACAACTTACAGCTCATTTGTTTTATCTGTCTTTTTCTACAGAAATACAAGCCTTTCAAAGGAGTGAAATATCTCACTAAAGCAGGGAAATTCCAAATTAGAGTGTAGAGAAATATATTTTACCAAAAATGCCACAGCTAATAGTGCTAATAATATTAATAATTATTACTTCGAGATCTATAGTGAATCACTGGTCAGCGGAGATGTTTTCTTTTAAATTCAGAAATGTTTCAATTTTTAGGGGGGCTGTAAAATGGCCCACCGTCTTGTATTGTCATACCAAAGGAAGCCATGAATGGACAGAATCGTTTCACGTACGCGAAAACCTCGTTTTCTTATCTTTGAGGCGCGAAGAGAAACAAATCACTTTGGGTAGAAAACGCTTTGGACGAGATAAGATGCCCAAGTGTTGATGGTTCTTAATTTTAAGTCAAGAGAGGGAGGAAAGGGAGAGGGTGGGGTATTTTGTCACCCCAGACGCTTTTGATTTCCTAAGATCACGAGTGTTTGCGTTCACACATAGCAGTTGGTGATTTCACGAATGTATGGCCAGAAGTTGCGTTCTCTCCTTAACTACATGTAAACAAAATTAAAATATAGGATTGAGTGCTACTGGGGATGAAAAGTAGAGATAAACTTTACAGGAGGGAGAATGTTTCACGTGTAATAACCAAATAAAGGTAACAACGATTACAAACCAAATCACACATTTATGACGAATCTCAGGTTGGCTATATATTCAGCACGTGCAGTGGCCACAGTGCTGCATTTCCACCGTATCTCACGTTATTACTTCCCTCCGATCTCGGATATTTCCGTCTAATTTCGATCATATTCCGTCAGATGTCCAAATGGACAAGTTAATTGAACTAAGATGTATTAACCTTAAGCCATAGTACAATTACATGTAATTTGCTCCTCCTCGAAACTTACGCCTTTAGGAATTTGACCGAACGAAAATAATCAACATCAATGGTAATGAATTCGAAACAGTGGTTTTGCAAATACACAAATCGAAGGACCCGATACTCGAAGTAGCGCACGTTGTCCGCCTTTGGATAATGTTTCAGGGTTTGGTTATGCAGCAGCTCATCGAGGAAAGGGTTTGTGTTCTGAGGAGACTAAGACATTTTTTCTTTGTTTCTGCATATCGAAACGAAAAAAACATCAAACACTGTACGTTAGAATATTGTACTTTACAGTATTGAGATCTGACGATTTTCAACCTTATTAGAGTTTAATTAGGCTCTGGTTTTGTTAAACCCGTCTACCCTAATATCATTAAGCATATTCTCCTAGCTTTTCTATATCTATCTCCTATGCTACTGACATGGAGAATTTGTTGAACAATCAAGAGCTTCCTTTGTTGGTGACTATTTTATTTATTCTCAAGACCTTAGTATTTGATCGACCTTGATAGTGTACGGAGAAATGAGAAAGTAGTCACTCCTACAGCGAGGCAACAACACATGCTGCCGATTCAGTTACCAGACAAGCTCGTTACCAGCGAGATCGCGAACGGATCCCACAGTCTCAATTAGGCAACCCACCAAACAATAGGAACGCATTTTGTAAAAACACATTTTTTATCATACACATTTGACGCTAAAAAGGGAATTTATTTCACGTATGTGTGTGGCTCAGGAACCATGAGACGTCTGTACAAAAGTTGCTAGTACAGTAAGTTCCGTTTGGCTTAAAAAACACGCCACTGGATCTGACTGAAATTCTCAGCTAACATATTCTTAAACACAGGATGGTTTATCTTGGAGCTTGAGTTATGCAACCTCTTCCGCGTGGAACTTCTGTAGAGAAAGCTAAGTGAAAGTCGTTCACTCGCTGTCACTACTAATCTGCTCACTTTCCACCAGTCGCTGTGGTAGTTTAAGAACAGCCTCGCCTTGGTGGCGTTGTTTGATCCCTCGAGGAAGTCCGCGACATGAGGATAGGTTTAGATCTGTGAGGTTTGGACAGCCATTTAACACCCTCCTGCATTAAAGAAATATTGTAGGTTACATCAATGCAAGCAAATCTGCGGTAGCGAGGAGACAAGGGCGCGTATGCGCTGATCCATCGTAGTTCTTGCTCTAAACCGTGTACATTTTAAAAACCTTGGAGAATTACTCAGCCGTGACTTTGACACACAGCCATTCGAAAGCCACATAATTTTAGTTATAATCTTAAAATTATATAACATAAGGGGAAAAAATGGAGGAACTCGATTTTTTTTACGTAAAGAGAAACTTTATCTCTACTGCCTCAATTTACCAGAAAGTACGGAGGGCACTTTCTACTAGATTTTGTGAATAGGGGATGGAGTTAGCCTACGAGAGATTAGAATCCTTTCCAGACGAAATCAGTAGCGATTCTCCTAGTCTAATTCTACGTCATACAGATAGTGAAAAGGTCACTTGTGCACTTGTCTCCTCAATGATAAGTCTCCCACTTACTTTAAGCCTAAAGCGGTGATATTGGTGTTGTTGAGATCTAAAGTGTGTAGCTTTGGCATTCCAAAATTTTCCAACAGTTCCATATCCTCATCTTCGACGTTTTTATTCTGTGAGAGGTCCAGAACTTCCAGACTATGGTGCCACTAACATGAGAAAGAATAACAGTTCAGTTTATCTTTACTGTGTGCTGCAATAACGTGCGAACTTTGGAGATGTGGATGAATCATTGAAATGTTTGTATTTATCGTAAACGCCCATCCTGTTTCGCACCTCTTAGTAAACAAACAATGTTTCAAAGGGATTTTAAGGTCATTTTCTGTACTGTGATTGGTGAATTTCTATCCATGTTTTGTAAGTCTCTTATTTTGGATCGCTGTTACGATAATGATAAATGCCAGCGTGTGACGAAATCGCAAGTTTGGCCCTAAATCCAAGAGGTCGCTTGTTATTCAAAAGTGCTGGAAAGAGTGAGAGCAGATTCTTTTTTTTTCAAAAGTGCTGCTGGATAGAGTCGCATTTTCACGTCCGGATTGACTAAAATGGGGTTGAATTTTTACTAGAATGGGGGTAAGAAAATTCTTTTTATGATGAATTCACCCCGCTACAAGTCAGCCCCCTACCACCTTTGCGATTTCGCCCCCACTTTAACCGGTTCGTCCCAAAGTCTTCCAACTCGTTTCCCTACCAAAGAACGTATTAATTTCCTGCCGAAATCATGATATTTTTGCGACCAACATGCAATTTTCACAGCGAGACCATCCCAAGGTTCGATCAACATACAAATTCCTAGCCGTGTTAAAAAAGCACGACAAATGCACAAGTAATGCAAAGCCCTTTAATTACTCCGGTCTAAATCTGACAGGTTTGACACGATTTTGAGCGTTTGTTTGCAGCAATTTTAAAGAAGCAATTATTTCGCCTTCTCTTCGAATTTCACGTTGACCCAAACAATTCAACAGCCTTACATAAAGACTCTTTCGGCAGACATTTTGTCGACTTAGGGGCTCACGAGGCAAGCCACTTGACTGAGTTTAGTGAAAAGTTTCGCTCATATTGATAACAGTGAGAAAATTGTTTTGGTCAAAGTTTGTATGATTTGAGTATCTGGAATCAAACCTTGGCGACCAAAGAAATACAAAGACGAGTTGAATGATTTGAGAGCGAACTGATAAAGATGAGGGGCGAACTCGCAAAGGAGATTGGTGGCGAACTTGCAATTGGACGAATTCACCGGTTACCAAAAAATTATAGTAAGCAGGGATTTAAAAATGAGAATATTTGCAGTCAAATGTGACAATTCATTGTAGGAAGACTTGCTTAAAAGTCAATATAACGTAGATGCATAAACAGAGAGTGACTGAGCTGGGATCGCAAAAAAATCGCATTTGTCTAAAAGTGATCAAGATGGGGTCTATAATTGGCCACACAATAGACTGACTATATTGAGGTATGGGTTCTGAGACTCTAATACCCAGCAAAATTTACTTCCAGGGGGTTTTAGGTTAAATCAATGGACAGGGTGGAAGTGCCTAACAAATTTCCCTAAAAACCTCTGTCACCTTTTCCACAATAGCTGCAACTTTACTGAATGAGGCACTGTTTGTGAAGTACAGCTGTTCCAGTGAGGAAGCTGGCAGCCTCTAGCATAGTAAAAAAAAACTCAAACTGTCAGAAGTGAATTGAATGCAAGCAGCTTTGCATGTGGAGAAATTCATTCAAAGCTTGTCTCTAAAACACTTCCCGGTGAAAAATAGGAAAACCTCAAATTAGAGTTAAACTAGGAAGGAAAGCGAACATTTTATTTAATTTCAACAACACCCTAACCAAGTTTTGGTGGACTTCAACTTTCAAAACCGGTTTGATAGGTTTTCTAGATTTGTAAAAGCGGTTTGACAGGTTTCGATATAGAAATGCGAAACGGGCTTAAGTGCCCTCATTGATCAATCTTTTGCTTCGAATATCGTTCGAGAAAGGTTTTAAACAAGTGGATTTCCATTTTTCCCCTTTAATCGGAACAGACCACGATCACCAAATACCACTTATCAGCACTGAAGTTATTTCCTCATGTTTCTACATTGTGTTGCCTGAAAACTGCATCCCTCTTGGCCAGTCAGAATGGAGAAATTTACATGTGTAATACCTTACCTGTAATCCATCATGGCTATATCTGTTGGGACCTCTGATGTCAAGCATTTTAAGGTTGCGTGATGCCCAAAGAATTCTACAATTGAAATAGATTTCGTTTTCAGTGCGATGTTTCTCCGTCATGGGGTAATGTAATCTGTTGTTACCAAGGGGGAATAAGGCTAACGTTCCCCAGGGGTATCATGGCTAGCATAGCCTAGGGGCAATATGGCAAGTGTACCTTGGGAGCAATATGGCTAGTATAGCCTTGAGGCAATATGGTTACTGAGCCTAAGGGGTAATATGGCTATAGTGTAGCCTAGGGTTAATATGGCTAGTGTAGCCTAGGGGTGATATGGCAAGTGAGCCTTGGGGTATTATGGCTACCGTAGCCTAAGAGCTTCATGGCTAGTGTAGCCTAGGGGTAATATCGGGAGTGTAGCCAAGGGATAATATGGCCAGTGTAGCCTATGGGCAATATGGCTTGTGTGGCCTAGGGGTAATATGGGGAGTGTTGCCTAGAGGTAAAATGGTATGCCTTGGCATTCTCCGTCGATAACACTGTTTTCTTTTTTCTTTAGGTTCTCTCCAACTTCGGAGACAGTATCTATGTTTCCGCATTGGCTGAATGTGATTTTATGAACGCCAAATACCCTTTACAATAAATAGAAATTCAGTAAAACACACTACTGATTTTACAATACTCCTCATGGGAAATGAGTCATGCTTCAATTTTTGAAAATGCCAACTCCATTAATGACGGCGATGAAAAAGAAATTGGCCGAGGGAAAACGTTTTCTTACGCCAATGAGAACTGAAAGGTCAGGGCAGTTGGTTTCCTGGTTAGACGTGTATATTTTTGGTCATTTGTAAATCTGTAAGGACTGATGTTGGTGTACTGACATCTCAGCGAACTGAGAGTAAGTTCTTTTTTTTTCTGAAGAGAACTAATGCAGAAACGTACAGGCGTAGCTAGGATTTTTTTAAGAGGACTTCGTGTTACATACTCTAATCTCTAATTCCGTGCGCCCTACGTGAATTGGCTCATATCGTTGCTCTATTAATGCGGCGAGAAGGAAAAGTAAACGGAGTAGCTAGCTCTGGCAAAGATTTATGCCATGTAGATTGTTAGGATTTGTACCTTTTTGAAAGCCTGTAGTATAAGATTTGTATGTTATTGACTGAAAAAGGAAAAAATTATCTCACAAAGGCGGAGATATCACAAGCACCACTAATTACATCCCTGAAAAGTACTGAGCATGAGACAAACCCTTTTGGGGTGAAGTCTGATTGAAGCGATTTTCCAAACAAACTTAGTCTCTCAATAAGTGACTCACCTATCCAGTAATCGGTCAGTTCTCTGATCGGACCCAACGAATCCACAAGGCAGACCCAGTGTCTCCAGCTCAGTAAAGCCATTTGGTTTCTGATAAGAAACAAATTTCAGAATGAAGTATTTTTTGTTAACGAGTAAATTTGATTTTGTATGTTTTAAATGCTGTCAAGACAGCGTTTATGAACTATTTGCATCAATTTCAAATTACCTTTCCATTGACAAGAGTTTTACATATGGGTGTTGAGGTGAGCAAAAGATTGACAAGAAAGAGGTGTTTCAGTTTGGGGCATCCAGCCTACAGAAAAATGTTTAAAGCAAAAATGATTAACAGAAAAAAATATCAAAACTAGATTAAAAAATTGATGAGCTTCAATTCTGATGTTTGCTTTGGCTGTTATTCCATCACAATCAAACACAACTGTACCTGTAGCTTTTCCACACAAAGTTTTCTTACACTGGTACTGCTCAGATCAAGACTAATCAGGTTTGGACAATGTTCCTGTAAGAAAAGAACAGTTTTTTGATGAAAAATGCTGAGTAGCTATGACATTTTATATTCTAACACACTTCTGGTAAAATATTGGAAGGAATGAAACATGTGAACAATTGCATTTTTACCTGGACAAGTGGAAGAATAGATTCTCCATGCAAGCGATTGCAGTTCCTCAAGCTTAGATTCTCCAGCTGACATCCCAATACTTTTACAAGATGTTGGAGACTGGCTATGTCAATCTAAACAAACATTTTGAAAGTCTTAAATCTTAAGTTGATGTCCAAAAGAAAAACCACTATCTGTTGGAAATCTGAAGTCTCACAGTGTTTGATTTTTGGGTCACATACCTCAACCCTCATGCCTAATTTATTTCTATTTTTCAGTATCTGTAATTGTTTTTAATTTTGCTTTGTGCTGTAGCTGGCCTCATCTCAATCTATCCCTATAAACTGGAGACACTAAAAGGGTACACTGTAGTCCAAAATCAAGGGAAAAATCAAAACAGAAAGCCCCCCAAAAGAAAATTTTTATGGGGTAAAATTTAATTGCTACCTTTATTTGCTTATGTGTATCCATTCTAGACAATTTTAAAATGTATGCATGTGTAATAACTGTATTGTTGTTTTGCAACATAACTGAACAAAAACATAAATGGTCTGAAACCTGCTGCCAACATTTTTATCTTGAGAGTAACAGGTTTTTCATTAGAAATTGAAACATTACCTTTGTAAATGCAACATCTATCATCTTCAACTGACCACAGTTATCAGCAAGGGTTGCAATACCTGCGGAGGTTAAGCTACCACATTGTGCTAGCACAATAGATTGCAGCTGTTTACAATGTTTCCCTATTGCCTACAGTACCAGAAAAAAAGTATTAGTTGATTAGATCATAAGCTATCTTTATGGTATTAGCAAACAGTTAAGCAGTCATCAGACTAAAGAGAACTCATTTCTAGGTCTACCACAACTTATTCTGTGAACAAAGTTGATAATCAAAGTAAGACCTAGATGTCTATGTGTTGTAAAAGTAATAAAGCACAATTTAAAGCTATGTTCAGAGTAAACTGAGATTAGTTTCATTATATTTTTCTTCCCAGTTTTATATATATCTTCCCAACCTATCAGATGCAAAACCACACCAAACTGGTGCATGCTGATACATGTTTGATTTTACTTACTCTGAATGAACACAAGATCTCTGTAGATCATTCACTAGCACTCATAAGAGAAGCTGACTACAAACCAAAGAAAAGTTCCAGAAAAGTAGAGAGAATATCAAATATGAAGGAAACTTACTTGAACTAGTTTTTCCAGAGCTCTCAAGTCTCATGCTCAATGTGTGATAGACTTGGGAGCTCTGTTTCTACATAGCTCTTTTAAAAATAATATAACAGACAGCCATTGCCATAACTCTAAGCAAAATTGATTACCTGTATTCCTTTATCTGTAAGTTTTTCCCACCCTAAAAGACTTAACTCTGTGACAGCTGTTAACCTGCTGGGTGCCAGTTTTTCTATTGTGCCAGAGGATGCCTTTATAACACATGAAGTGGACAAATCAACATTTCTCCATAAAACTGGTTCTATGGCAACTTCTCTCCATCTGCGACAGACTCTTGACATCCTCAAATGCAAAGAAAATATCATTCATACTACAGCTGCATTGATCACAGGGTTACCAAAGGAATGTGAAAATATACAGGTACAGCTTCAACTTTGTGAGCACTTACTTGCACAAAAATGGTACAGATGACCCAGAGATACTCTTAATGACATTCTGGAATATCAATAATAGGATTTCTGTAGGAATTAGCTCTGTCCATCCACTTGATATAGATGGAGACACTGATGTATCATTCCTTGTCTGATTTAGTTGTTTAGTTGTTACAGGCATATCTTTGCTGTCTGTAGAAGGAACCATTTTAGTTCTTTTACAGGAGGCTGTCTGTCTAGAGTCATTCTGGACATTTCTCTTCTTTTTCTTTGATTTCTCCTCATCACCATTGTCATTTGAGGAAACTGTTTTTGATTTTGCCTTTTTACCAGACTTTCTTGTTTTAGTATTCTTTTGTCTTTTATCCTTGTCTTCATCACCTGACAGTTTAAAATCACATATTAAAGCTGCAGTAAAAAATCTATGAGTGTCATACATTTTTAACACCCACTCTGTGTTTGTTCTCAACAATTATCTGCACAATCAATGCAGACAAAATACAAACCTCATCTTAGTTCCACCATGTATTTAAATCATTGCACTGCACAATATATGTATTTTTAACATTCATTCTTTAATGTAATCTGTCAGTTCTAACAGACTTGTTGAAGGAGAGAGTCTGAATATGTTAACCATGGATTCAACCAAACCAACCTGAGGCACCAGAGGATTCCTTTTTTCTGGTTACCCTCAAAATTATCTCATGAGAATTAACCCTTTAACCCCTTAACAGGGACTAGCATCGGATGTTTCGATCCGTACAATATATATCACTCCTGAATCACGCATTGAGGTCAAAAGAATTGCAAGTAAATTTGTCCTTGGATTTAAAGGATAAACTCTTCAAAACATTACAATTGTAAGATAAGTCTCTTTACACTATCGGTGTTACATCTCCTAACCTTCCAATATGGTAAAATCTGCATCATCGCTGTCATCTGACGGGAGTTCTTCTGCAAATCGCCCAAAGACAAATACTTGTCTTTCTGCTTTTTTCGGTAATCCAAGGATACCCTTTAGCGGTTTGGATTTTTTCGACATTTAAGTATTGCAAAATAAAATAGACAATCGCACTAAATTTGAAAAACTTTCGACTCTTGTATTGTGAAAACTCAAACAAAGGCTGCAGATATATATTTCACTCTGTCCACCATGTTGTTTACAGCAGTGGCCCGATAAGAGTTGTGGGTAAATTTTCATAAGGGAATTGGACTGGATTACTGAAGTTGGAATGATGAGTCCTGTAGCGGTTCTCTGTAACCTTCCTTGGTAAGACTTTGCTTTTCTAATTTACATTGAAAGTTAGCTTTTGAAGAACAGCTGCTGCAAAGTTTCGTCTCATGTTAGACGCACTATCTAGATAAAATATTATACTCCAAGGACGTTTGACAAGCGATATAGCAAATAGATGATTCATGTTGAGTTGACGTGTTCTTTCCATTGATCTCAAGAATAAAATGATTTTGGACAAATTAAACGGCCACAAAGTTGTAGATATAGCGCTAATATACCTATTAACTTATTTTGCGGAAAACGCGCCATATATTTTGTGAAGAGCCCGATCATACCCGAGTATCTCCGAAGAATTCCGGGGACGTTCCGAAATACCTAAGAATTACAACACACATTACCTCTTGTATTCTCTTCTCTGAGAGTTCGGACCGGGCTACGCCATAGATTGCACGTTCGTTTATTTGGTTTAGTCTCTTGGTTCATTTTGTAGTTAGATATTTGCCTAAATTTGCTTTTAGTTGAAAAGCACCTTCATACAAATTCGTTTTGTTAAATCATAATACTGAATATCTCTGCATTCGATTTCGTGGGGTGGAAACCGGTGAATTTGCCTGCACCCTCAAGCTATGCAGAAGTAAGTTTATCTTATTATCGTTACACAGCCAAGGTCTATCAAAATTTTCAACGATTCTTTATTGTTTCCCGCTGCATTCACCTGTGAACAGCAGCTAATGACGTTTACAGATCAATTTTAATTAAATTTTGAGTCAGGAAATCTTTAATGGATCGTCACGACAGTCTAGAAACCTGTTAAAGTTGCCCAATAATTTTTCTTTGAGGTATCTATGATTACTATGTAGTTAAAAACACATCGGAATAGATGAGGATTTATTTTGTAGGTCAATAATAAAGTAAACATACTTTCTTTTAGATTTGAAATCTTCCTGTTTATCCGCGTTTATGAGCATGCGCGATAAGTAGTGGTTAAAAACACGTAGAGTAAGAGCAAGGGACCACATTAGAGACGGATGAAAGGGTCGTCCCATGTAGGAGAAGTTTTCTTTAACTTTTTGCATATGAGGGCAAAGATGACAAAAATGTATTTCAACATGGTAGTATGTTAGTGGTTAGAAGGGTACTTTGGTGCAAGCACTTTGGTATGCCTAATCTCAAGCACTTCTTCAACGGCGCTTACGCTACGTTCGATCACTGCTGAGTTATGTGCTTTTATCAGAGACCACACACTATGTACTCGCTGTGATCCTGTCATGTGCTTTCCGTTTCACCCGCTTCGTCGCTGTTCGCTGTTCGCCCCAGACTCCAGTTCTTCCAATGTAGTCAACAAACTTTGAATTTTAGCTCCGCCATGCCACTGCTTCAGACCTCTGGGAACTCCACGACATGACGTCAAATTTAAATGCCTGAGTCTTGGGCTGGCATTTAAAGCTTTTCTACACACGTGAAAAAAAGAGGCATTCAATTATGTCTGCGATGTCGCCGGCGCAACCAGCCTGCCCATGCACTCTGCACAACTTATCATGTTCGTAATTTCAAATCTAGCTGTGTGCGCAACAACAAAATTACAATCCTGCAGCTGCATATTTTCGGAATCAAAGCAATGAAGACTTTGCTGACCTAAGTCGTGCTTATAACATTAAGATATCAAAGATCATTCCTGACTTTTTTCTCAAAGCGAAAATTGTCCTGCCATGATGTTTATCGATTTTTGGTGCGGGGCTTGATTGAGAACGCTCTGTGCCGTCAGATATCGAGCGCCGCTAATTTATTGAGAAAACATTGCATTAAAAGAACTTTTTATATCCCTGTATTCTACATAGACGCACAAAACGTTAGGGAAGTAAGCACTCACCTCACACCTTCGGCTGTAACATTTGTGCTACTAAGATCTAAACTGTACAGCTTGGGCATTCCAGAGTTTTTCAATAGCACCATAGACTCATCACTAACACCACTGTTGGAGGAAATGTCCAAAATCTCCAAACTATGATGCCACTGAAATTAAAAAAGATACAAACAAGTTTATGTGGAAACGGAAGTAATTTTGGGAAAGCTCTATAACCAGTTAAAGACAAAATTGGTAAAGCTTTCAGAGGATGAAGAGATTTCTGAACGAGGGCAGGTTCGAATTGCATTGGTTTTACTCTACCCCGTTCTGTGATTGGTGCAGAGATATCCCACCACCCTCTCAGCCAATAGAGACCTGAGCAGAATCGATCGCTTCAGAGAACAAGTATTTTCTTTAGGATATGGTCGGTCGTTATGGATACTTTGGTTCTGATTTACAACTCTTCGTCGAAAAGTTTTCCACAGATAAGAGATTTTTTTCGTTTATCTCACTGGAATATCGAGAAAACTACTTTCTCGGTTGTTTGGCCAAGGTTTCTCTCGGCACATGACGTCATAGAAGATATTACCTGCTGAATGACGGCTGACATCAGAGCAAATGTAGCGTGTGTGTCCGAGAAAAACAACTCCGTAAGAGAAGTTACTGGTAAACTCTGCAGAACAAAAATAGACAGATTCTTGAATAAATTTTCAAAAAGACTGAGCCAGCAATAATAATAAAGGAAGACAAAAAAATTAAACAAATGTCATTAACAAGCACCAAGTGCGCTTGGGTCAAAGAGTTGTTGGTGGCCCTGTTTTTCGCTCAGCTTGGTTGAGCTCGATGTGTCATGAAGTCCTATTTTAAAGAGATGTCACGCAACGCTCGGTCAGCGGTGCGTTACATCTCAAAGCCGGCATCGAGGGAGTTTAGACAAAGTTCAGTTTATTTGTACCTGTAATCCTTCAGGGGTGATTCTCTGTAATCCTCTCACGTCTAGCTTTTTGAGATTGGTCGAGGTTCTCAAGAGTCTACGAATCATAGAAAAGTGACCACAGTCGATTTTAAAAACACATATTGAACGTATTCTGGAACATGCGCGTTATTCTCTAAGAAGGAACGAGCAAGGTTGAGTGGAAAGCTGGTTTCCATTACTAGTAATGTCAGTCATTATCTATATTTGCCGAAAAATCCGAAATTCTGTTTCAGTTCTTTCCAAATCGAGTGAGTTTTGATTAGGCTACCAACAGTATCTTTGCAAAGTAGAATTAAATATATCACAAACCTGAACAAAAAGCGATCAACCCTTGGGACCCCTGCAAAACAACCACAGGCCAGGCAAAGTGTCTCTAGTTGGGGAAACCCATTCTGTTCCTGGAGATGAAAAAAATGCTCCTCAGCGAAGGATATGTGACGAAAACGCGTTATGAATGTTTGACGTTACCGATCTACGAATCACTGGTATTTTGGGCAGCAGTTTACAACAACTTGACGAATTCAGTTTGACGTTGAGATTTCAAGTCTTTCCAGCTGAGTTTGTGATACAAAGAATCGACATCTACGTCATAGTTTGACGAAGTTATTACTCGTGCAGCACGGTTGTGTAGTCGTCAGGAAATATGCCAGACATCAGGGATTTACCAAATAGATCGCATAACGGGCCTGAAATAATACCAGCACACTCACGAATCAACCTAGCAGAGATATTATCTAGTCCTGTAATCTTAGATTAATCTTAAAGTTTATATGGAATACTACCACATCAGTGCTTATAGGAGTTGAGTGAAGAAGTAGGTTGGCAAGGAACAGTTCTTTCAGCTTTGGACAACCAGCCTGAAAATCAAAGAAAGATATATATTTTTTTTCGTCTTAATTGTCACGAGCGTTGGACAGAGAAACTGAAAGATTTAAGTTCCCATCGGATATCAAACCTGGAACCTTTATCAGATTCCCTGTACCGATGCTCTACTCTACTCTACTAAACTGAAACGAAGAAGGATGGAGAATTTAAATGTAACTTACTTTGATTCTTACCTGAAGCTTTTCTACATTAAGTTTTCTGATATTGGTACCAGTTAAATCAAGGACAGTCAAGCTCGGACAACGCTCCTGCAAAAAAAATGGCACACAGCGTGGATGAGTTTTTAGCAGACTGATACAATATGTTAATTCTATGGATTTATGTTAAGGTTCATCTCTATTTCTGTGTTGGGTATGAGGCTGAATGGCGTAACTTCCATAAACAATCCGGTTCGGATCAAAGCTATTCAGTTTCAACGAGAGTCGGAAAACGAGAACATACATTCCACTTTCTCTGGATTGGTGGTGGAGATTCCCAACCCAAAGTTTACACGTTTTATCTCGGGAGTCGCAGAACTTTACAGAAACTTATCGGGAGAATTCAGTGGCCTCATTTCTTACAGCCCATGTTCTAATGACTGACAGGACAACAACAGCAATAACTGTCCACATATAGGTTTTATAACAAACCTGTATTATAGGAAGAACTTGTTCGCCTCCCAACCGACTGCAGTTCATCAAGCAAAGCTCTTCCAGCTGATTTCCTAATCGCTTAGTTACACGATGGAGACATGCGATATCAATCTATAATCCATAAAAATCAAAGGCGTAAACCTTTTTTACATTGCACACAAAATATATGACATTAACCGAGAGCAAAGCGATTGATTTCAGCTCTACACCTGCTAACTTCTTGAGACCTACGATATCTAAGAGTCTTCAAACTGGCCATTTTGTTACACAAATTTGCGCAGCAATTTAAGGAAAAAAGGATTACATGGGATATCCTTCTAAAAGTCGCTCTGTAGTGAACTGAACGATGCTTGAACTGAACGATGCTTATTGGTAATTGCCATAAGTATATGGAAAATTGGTGTAAGAAATGTTGCGGACACACCTAACTGAAACGTTGCGTAAAAGAAAGGCTAAACTGCCTTACGCATGAGAACTCGTTGCAGCTTGCGCTACAATTTTTCTACTTTTATGTATGAGTATTACCTTTGTCATAGCGACATCGACCATCTTCAGCTGGCGACACTTTGAAACCAAAGTAGAGATACCCTTCGACGACAGACTCCCACACTGGGATAACACAATGGACTGCAGAGAGTGACAGTGTTTTCCTATGGCCTAAGTTAACAAATTAAAGAAATAGAACGAATGAACGTGATCAATAATCAGCGGTCTTCTCCGCTTATCGGCGACACCAAACAGTTTCAGCATCACTAAGAGAAGCTCTCGGAAAACTTGTGATGTAATAGGCTGCGCTATTGATAAGACACTGAATTCCCTGTGGGGCATTGGGCAACAATAAGGCAGGTTGGCTGGACATAATAGATATGCCGCTTACTTACGGGCACAACCACAGACAAAATTAGTTTCCATCTTTAGAAGCTGAACACTCTTTCCCTACCTTCAGTCCTACATCTGTCAACTCACTCCACCCATCAAGGTTCAATTCTCTGACAGTTTTCAGTCGTGACACCGCTAACTTTACAATCGTGGAGTCGATAGCAGATCTTGGACATTCAATGCTCATTGTCGATAAATTGACTTCTCTCCACAACATTGTTTCTGAAGCAACTTGCTTCCAGCTTTGACAGACCCTAGACATCCTGCATTTATATTTAAACACAAAATTAGCAAAAGACATTTGTAAATAATAAAACCACGTGAATATTGTAGCCAATGACATCACAGCCAAACTTACTAATCAGTCGGTTTTCATTAACCAAACCTCAAACCACACATAACCCACAATTCCTCTGTTCGCCCTGAGTAGGGGCTGACGCTCGAAATTTCAACTTTAAAAACTCTTTATGGTGGCAATTCATATCATCAACTCAATGATAAAACCAAATTATCTTGTAATAACAGCCCCTTTCCACTGACCCAGCACCACAGTTTCTTTAGAAATTTACCCCCTGTCCCTGTACACACTTGGAACGCTCGACTGCTGAGTAACAATTCTGTACTTGACGCTGTTGATGACCCGCTCAGATTGTCGAAATGTTAGTCTCACCAATAATAGTCCTTTTTAGGACTACTTACGCCCATACTACTCAACTCAATCAGTTGGGGCGTTTCCCTGACAGGAAGTGGTTTTACGCAGTGCATATGCATTTCTTAGAGAAGCAGTTCTTTTTAAGCATACCATCTTTTGTGCGTAAGTTACATTCAGTTTCAAGTGCTCACAGTTGTTTGTAGTGCTACATCGTGAGTGTAGACTACTTTGAATAATGTCTTTCTCGACATAAAATGCCGAAATACCTCTCTCAGTTGTATGTAAAGGCTCTAGGTCATAACATTTTTAGATGTTTATTTTTGGACGGTATAAAATCGCCTTCGGTGTAAGGAAGATCACAAAATATGACTCCTTATTAGGAAGAGGAACTCCGTACTAAATGGAATAGATCTGGAAAAGAGCGAGGTTAGTTGTAGTGACATAAACTGCAAATGATAATCTTGATGATCTAAACAAATCTATGTTTAATCGTTCAGGGTGCACCAAACAACACCTTTAGGAGACCTAGTAGCCATTGCCCTTTAATTGCAACCATCAAAATGTGGAAAATGGAATAAAACGTACCTGCATAAGAAAGGAACTGGTCCGGTATCGCTCACAACTTGCTTGAAAATCCTCAGCAGTATTTCATGAGGAATAAGTTTGGACCATCCATTCTCTTTGAGTGCCTTGATTTCCAAAAGGCGCAACTCTTCTGCCTGTCTTACCTTCAGTCTCGCTCTGATATGTGCTTTGATCCGCGTTCTTATCCTGTTCTCGATAAGATCAAGCTTACTCGTTTCCTTTTCAACTGAGTCTTCATTAGAAAGCTTTCTCTTCTTACACGGTACAATATTGACCTCCTGATTTCGCTTGCGTCCTGTGCGGTTTAAAAAAAATAAAAGTGCGACAAAAGACGCCCGCGTCATTAGTGACAATCATCAGTAATGGTAATATCCAAATTTAACGTGGTTAACTTTCCTTTCCCTTCAACTTTGTTGTACACCTTGATACTCGACTGTGAATATAGGAAAGTCATATATTTGAACTGCGAATAAAGACGTGAGTACAAAAGCGATCTTCGCAGTAATGAACACTACTTCAGCAGTAGTGAAAATAAGGCCTGAAAAAAATTCAGGCCTGTAAAAAAAAAAAAAAAAATTTGCATGGATTTGAACTCTGACCTCTGCGATAGAGCGCTGCACCGGTATCGCAGAGGTCATGGGTTCAAATCCTGTACAGGCCTGAATTTTTTTCAGGCCTTATTTAAATTTTCACTACTGCTGAAGTGGTGTTCATTACTGCGAAGATCGCTTTCATACTCACACCTTGATACTGTAAACATATGATAACTGTCCAACATATAGAAGAGATTGACCTTGCTAGTTGTGATTTGTTTTATCGTTAAACCTCCCCATCACGAGGAGATACAAAAAAGGAGCCGTTAAAGATTAGGAGGCTGGTGTGGGGAGGAGAGGTGGAATAGGACTCTTATTTTATTCGAAAATTTTACCTCATTTATATTTTTTACTAGTGCGTTGTGTAGCATATCTTAATTAAATTACAACTAGTCTATCAGTTTGCAGAATGCTCACGGCTGACTCGGTGAAACTTCATGGTCAGCTATTGTCTGCTCGGGTGAATCAGTGCGATGCTTTTGGAATCACTGTTCGTCAGTCGGTGATTTAATGGAGTGTAATAGGGTTATTTGTTTCAATTGGGAGGCACAATAATGACCTTTATCGTTGTTATGGTAGACATTGTCAAGATGTTAAAATATGGGTGAATGTAATTATGGTCCGCAAGGGCTTTTTTCCATCTGATTGGTTGGTTAAGTGACACGTGTTTTCTCGGCCAATCACTAGGCCCATTAGATGCAGAACCAATCAAATTAGAACTAATGAAATCCCGAAGGACTTTCGACTTTTGACTTTCATGTGAACAGTGTCTTTTCTAAATGCTCTCTTACCGATTGCTCTACTTAATTAATTATACGTAACAAGCAAGGCAAATTCGCTGTAATCAGTGAATTAAAAATTAGAACAATACATCATTGCTTATTTTGAATTAAGTATCAACACGGAAATTGGTCCAGAGTGTCAAACCTTTATCCTCGAAGAAAACGTTAGGGCTACAGTCGCTAGTCTTCCGCTTTTCCCTGCTAATCAGTTGTGAAAATGTGATCATAATTCGCCTTATAACATTACTGCTCCATTACAAATGAACAACGTTTGATGGCGAGAATTTAATGAAAGACTTTGAAAACTCAAGGCAAACCTCAGATGAGATCGTTGGGGTTACTTGGCTTGAAAGTGGTAGCGAATGAGCGTGCGCATGCTCTAAGAGTTAACAGAAAAATAAATGCATGGTATGCAGTAATTCTGCCCTTTTCAAACACATTTTTTCTTAAAAATACCTTTTCTGTTGCGAGGAGAAGTTACGTTGTTTTCTTCATCGCTGCTCTTCGCCGAATCGGACGCGTCACTTCCACTTGAAGCTGCCCGCTTGCTTTGTTTTCCAAACGACCTATGTCTCCTTATTATTATGCTCGAACACGAGGTACTTGGCGAAAATTGTGCTATTTTTGTTCGGGCCATTGGGATATAGGGAAAAACCTCGTCGAAAGTTCAGGCAAATATAGGAAAATTCTTCGATGCGAAATATGCGAGTCGATTTGTTTTGTCCGCCGAAATCAAGCCGTTAAGGACGCTTAGGTTGATTGTTCACAGAGCTAACAAATATGCGGCCGATTAGCCATAAGCTCGTAGAAATAATGATTTATTACTTACCCGTGATGTCATAACTATAGAAAAACAATTACGAACTTAATTTGTCGTTTAGAATCATTATTTTGCAATTAAAAGTTTGAATTTAATTAGGTGAAGTCACAAGTAAATTATACGATTATATAGTGCGAGCAATAGTGCGATCAATTCCGTTTTCGGAGATCCATGGTAGATCTTGAAGTAACCAGCTGTGCGTCTTAAATTTTGCTCATATGGGCAGCTTGTGGGTGGTTTATTCGCCAAAACATATCCGAGCCACTTTAGAGGTATGTGTGACATTATTTACGAGTGACATACCTGGAGTCTAAAAACACCTTGAGAGGGATTACAAATAGCTTAGAGACTCTGTCTCCTAGCATTAATCTCTCTCGGTGGATTTAAACTGGCCGGTATCAGGTTTTGTTTCCAATCAATTAAAGTAAATACCACTGAACGCGCCCATGACCACGAATGCCGTACGACCCTCAATCGTGGTCATTACCACCAAGTGCGCAGAGAGTTACAAATGCTGGGGCCAATCGAGGTCATTGCCATGGAGCTTGCAAAGGATTGCGAATGCTGTGCAACCCTAGTCGTGTTCATTACCTCTGAGTTCGTAGAGGGTGACCAGTGTTGCGCGACCTTTATTCCGTGTTATTTTCATTGGATAGGCACAGGAACGCAAGTGCTGTGCAACCCTCAAACGAGGTCATTGCCACTAAGCACGCAGGGGGTTGCAAATGCCTCGCAACATTTAATCCGTGTCATTTTCACCGGGTGTGCACAGGAACGCACAAAGTCATTACTTCTGATCACTTCTGAACGCTGTGCGACCCTACATCCAAGTAACTACCACCACTACCCACTCGCACGTGCTCGAATGCTGCGCCGGCATCCTTCCTTTCGGGTTCGTTACAATTTTGTGCACAAGATTGCAAATGCTGCGCAGGCCTAACAAACAACATCTCAGAGAAAATCTACTGTAAAACAACAACAACGGAGCATTGTTAAGTGTCTATACGACCGGCCAAACACCTCATAACAAAACCATCAACCATCTCTCAAGAGAAGAAACAACTATCATCGGTTCTAGCCTCTAACGGATATTCACCCTCATTTATACGAAAGATTGCAAAGACGTAAAGATCATTAGCCAATGAAGAACCCACGCACGATTTCAAAATCTACTGCGGTTCGACCCTACATTAAAGGCGTCTCAGAGCTTCTTCACCGCTACCTACAACAACAAGGCGCGCGGACCGTCTTCAAATCTGATACGACGCTTAGGTCACACCTGGTGCCAGCCAAAGGACCTCACCGAGCTAGCGAAGCGGTACGATGTTGTTTACAAAATTCAGTGTGAACGTGGCAAAGTAGACATTGGAGAAACAGGTAGAGCGATGAAAGAGAGAATTAAAGAACTCGAAGAAAAAATACGGCTAGCTCGCACTCAGAATTCAGCAGTTTCGGAAAACATTAATGAAACAGGACATGTTTCTGTTGGGGAGTAGGTTAACTTTATTGGTTATGACTCTCACTGGCACATACGTAGGGTTAAAGAAGCCATCCACTCAAGACTTCATCCCAATTTCATCAATAGAGATAACGGAATCGTAACTCCCAAAGCGTGGATGCCTACGATCAAGAAGCATAACAGCGGATCAATTACAAAGAGGACCTCTGAGGGAACAACATTGTAATACTCGGAATAAGAATGAGGATTGAAATGCACCAATACCCGCCAATGACAACTAACAAAGGTGCTACAAATAGAGATACGCAAACTTTCGACCTCGTTGCTTGATAAAGACTAACGGTACAGCAGTCGGAATTTCGCAATCAACACGCAATTAATTAGCCTGACTCTTAAATCACCTCCTGTTTTTTGTTTGACTTCATTTTAATGGGCAATCCTCAGTATTTTCTCATGGAATAGTGTAATAGGCTGTATAATGCAGGTGACGAAATCGATATTTTGGTTGTGAAGAGAACTGGAACGTGGAGTTCTGTCCCAAAGTTGCCATGGCAAAGTACGTAAACGAAAAAACATATATACCTTTTTCCAAGGTCAAAAAACCATATACAGGCAACAGTTTCGTATTCCATTGCAATCGCTTGCCAAGAGGTAAAACTCACCACAAGAACGAAGAAAGTACAAACATAACTGGGAATTTATTCACACATTATTGACATTCACACCAAAGAATACAAAATAAATGATCGATGTACTTATTTCATCTATCTCAATAAATTAACCTTTCAACCTATATTTTACAATAACATCGACACCAAAAACTCATGCACCTATCACTCCGAACGAAGGTCATCTTTAGAAACACAAAAGCCTGGAAAAGAACAGGAAAGCTGATAATTATGAACATGCAGAACACAACCGAAAAAAAATTAAGGTTTGGAGGGCATCATACATTGGACACTTAGGTGTTATCGAAATCTTTGTTAGTACCACTGTTTTAAAGATATCAAGAACTTTAATTTGTGGGCCTGACAGACATTAATTTTCACCTCATCTGGTGGGTAACATCTCTGGATTGAAAAAACCCAGGTTATAACAAATCCCCCAATTTATACACCTAGAATATCAATTGACATTTTCCTCCTCACGCAGTGCAATGAAAGCCCACAAAAAATTTCCAATCAGTGTTAATCCCTTCATTAGCCACTCAATGCAAATGTCATTCATTCTTTTAGAAATGATTAAAAACATGTAAGGTATATTGTAAAAGCAACTATAAAAAAAAGCCAGACATTTGGTCCTGGAAACAAATCTCCAGTGCCTATGAATTCACACTTAGCTTGTCCATCAAATGTAAAAACTAAAATTTAACTAAAATTGTAAGAAGAAAAACCTCCTGTATTCTAATATACTGTAAGAAATAATTAACAGCGACAGAGGTTTGCTGTAGAAATTGTCTTCTAAATTTTCAGATTATTCTCTGACAAACTTCAATAAATTAATAGTAGATTGAAGTATCATAAATAGTCATTTAAGATCCCTAGGAACCCTACTGTTTAATGATATTATCAGGCCTGCCTGATAACTGTTTTTATATAACATTCCATGATCTTGCAGCTCCAAACTGTCACATGTTGCTATGTGTAATCATGAGTAATTATATCTTTTTTAAGACATGAAGTAGGCTCAAGATTTACAGCACTTTGAAAGAGATCTGCCACAGCAACAGTAAACATGTGTACTTGATTTTGCTACATGGCATCACTGGCTACTAACTCCACAAAATTAGGATGTTACCATTAAAGAAGCGTCTTAAAATCTGTCTAGAGCTAATTAAAGAATAAAATAGCAAAGATGTTTCCAAGAAAATGAGTATATCCAAGCTATTTGGATTAGATCTTGATTTACTTTAAAATTAAAATATATATAGAATTAGATAAAGTTAGAACTAGCTACTTAAAACCAGAGAAAAGAATTAACTTAAAATTGCATATTTCAAACTCAGCTTTAAGTTATTAAGTAAAGGCACTTCACCATTTATCTTACAGTGCTTCCAGAACACAACCAAGCAAATATTATGTTAATTTATGTGCTTTTTCTATCCAATAAATGCTTTTAACTGCTACAAGAAGTTATGCAGCATCAGGACAGGTTATGTCTGGGGTAAATTCAAGTCATCAGTGAGGTCTGGATGATTTCATACTTGAGTCAGAGAGGCATCTTTGACGGCGTTCAAGCTCATGACTATCTTCAGATCGAATGCTCTTGTTTCCGTTCAGAATGTCTTTTATGTGTTGAACAATGAGGGCAATAGCCACTTAAGAAGAGAGAAATTATTTCAGTCAGGTTAAACACATGTTGTGGAAATGCACTTTCTAGATCACTCTCATATTCATTAGTTAATCCACAGTTCATGTATATTATTTTCAAATATTCGCAGCCAAATATTATTAGTTGGCAATCTTGATTACAACATTTTTTTCAAACAGGTATTTGTGACCTAAAGTTGTTCTGAAGGTGTGCATGGAAGGTCATCAGTGTTTTCTGATATACTGCTAAATCCTCCTCCCAAGTTGATATGAATGTCTTTATGATAGACATAAAGAATTTCAACCTACATCAAAATTCACTTGGGGAATCTTTTAAGCACATGATGAGTTTAACTAGAGAGTTATTCCCAGCTTATCTTAACTCTCCAGGAAGGAGCCTGTTTCTTAAAGGTTGTGGGACTGTAAAAGTTGTTCTTAGCTGCTGCGTTTTCACTCAAGATAAGGATTTCAAAAGATATGAAAATTATAAGATACAACTACCAGCTACAGAAACAAAATTGACTGGTTGAATTTTGATTTTAAAATATGGTTTCAGGCCCAATAAATTACTAGGTCCCTCGATGAAAAAGCCCCAATTCCCCCAAAACAATGCTCATAAAGAGTGGGCTTCACAGTCAGAAAGATGTTTTCTTTAACACTTTGACTCCCAGAAGTAATTAGCAAATAGCAAAGCAAATGAGTGACGAGAACACCCAAACTTTTCAGGTAGAAGTAGTTATCATGATCAAACACCAAATTCTCATAACAAATTTGCAAGGAAATGTGTGGCAGCGAGAGGGAAGAATTAACAATCAGATCTTGGGAGTTAAAGGGTTAAAATATCTTAAGCTCCTGATATAAACTTTTGACTTGTTAGCAACCCTCACCTGTGTTATCTGATCCTCTTGGTATTATCACATCTGCATACTTTTTTGTCTACAAAATTTCAAAAACATTTCCTCAAATTATTCATTGCTGATAACTTTCAATTCACATTTTTGGCAAAAAATTAAATGCCACCCATTATAATTCACAATAGTTTTATAAACTTACCGGAAGACAAAAATCTTCAAATGCTGGTTTTACAAAATTTGTGTATGTGGCCAATACTTGATCAAGCTCTCGCCCTCGTTCCTGAGTATCTCTTAACACTGTCAACAAAGATACAAAGTGGTAAGTTTCGCACTAACTCTTATGAGTTAAATCCAGTTTGCAGTTAACACAGTATATGATTAATTACTTGAAAATCAGAGTCCTTAGAATCATTTATTGTGATATAGAATGCTGAGGGGGCAGTACACCAACCAAAAGGTTCACATCTGTCCACAAAAGGTGGTAAGTCAAAAATGACAAATTCAGTTCAAAATTCATTCAATCTGCAAGTTTTATATAGAATGCTGAAGAAGCACACCAACCTGAAGGTTCACATCTGTCCACAAGTGAGGGTAAAATTAATCACAAAAAAAAAATTTGTTTGAATCTGTGGTGTAGTTTTTACAGAAAAACATGGTTGCAGAGAATTCCTTTTTGATAGACAAAGCCACCACAATATTATTGGAGTGTACAGCACCTTTTCTAGACCAAAAACATTGGACTGCATCCTTGTAATTAATGATATATCTAACTTTCACAAATTATATATACCTCTTCTTGATAGTCTGGTATCACTGTCTGAATCCACAAAAAGCTTCATATCAAGCAGGTCACGTAGTTCCTTGAAGTAGATTGTTAAGATTCCTTCAAATAATATCACATCAGCAGGGTGTATTGTGACAGATTCTTTTTGTCTGTAGTTAAAATAAAGGATAGAGGAATAATTATGACAGAGATGAAAGCTTCTGAAAATTTGGGCCTTGATGTGCAAAGCATGATTAAGCTCACAGAATGTTAGCCAAAATGCTCTATTTTAAGTGAAATCAAGGACAAGTTAACTGTTTAATCCTGGATTGTTGCTGACCATCATTCTGACAACCTGGCCCTGAATTCTGGAGATATTTGATTAATATACACATCCCCACCCACTCCCTTCTTCTAATTTGTTTATTGAACACTCTGTTCTAGTCTCTCTCCACCAACTGAAGTCAATACTATGGATTCCTGACAATTACCACATTGGAAAAAATGACACACTTAATTATGATTCTTGACCAGAAAACTCCTCAAAACTGTTAAAATCCATGAAGGTAAAAGTTACTTGATCTTAAATAAGGAGACATGGTGCTGTAGCAAATGTAATTTGTGATAATTCTAATTAACATAAATTAAATTTTGCTGGTGCGAATCAGAGGACTGGAGGTGGACACAAGGTGCTGGAAGAGTTATCGGATCGAAGTTTATAATTTGAGGTCATTAGTGGGGTGAGGCATTCTACTGTCAGTCTTTGCTGTGTAAAGTTTTTAGATTTTATATTCATTTAAATTTATTTACTAATTCTGAAATATTGTCAGGTTTTATCTAGAGCTGTACTTGTATACTTCCATATTAAGTAACTGTCATCTACTTGAATGTGTATGATACCCTAACACCCCGAGGGTGGCACCACTGCCTTGGTCAGGGGTACACATTCCCCATTTTTCCACCTGCTGGTTTTTTAGGGCTTTTTGTGTCTGGCTTTAGTGCAATTAGTTTTAATTCAATGGTAATATACTTTTGTAAGCATATTGGTGTTTAATAAATGGTATGGTCACTTGGCTGATCAAACCACACCAATATCATCAACCTGTGTGCCTGTTTGAGTAGTAGAGCAAAATATGTTGAGTACATTGGACTAAAGCTCATAATATTCAGGCCCAAGATTTGCCAAGATTGTTGTGTTCTGTTCCTAGGCAAGGTAATTAATTTTCTCCTTGCAGTGAGGAGTGTACAGTTTTTGGGAAATGAGTTCAACAGTTTACCTGTCCCAAACAGTCCCAAGAAGTTTTCAGACAACAGCACTGACACCTTTTTAGGTTTTAACACTCACCTTGTAGCATTGACGGAGTCATAGAGAGGTATCTCAACAGTTTCACCTACTTTTGCTCTCTTTAAAGTATCAAGTGTCATCTCAAAGTCAAACGCATCTGATGAAAAAGAAATTTAATGAAATACTGTAAAAGTAATTCAAAATAATTTATTCTCTTATAACCTTTTGCACCATTATATCTGTATGAATTTTCTTCATACTGATCTTATATATTTCCTAAGGTGCTGACAAGGAGAATTTGCTCAACAATCAAGAGCTTCTTTCCTTTATTCTTGTGACCTTAATTTTTTATTCAGGATGATATTCAATGGGGAAAGGAGAAGCTGGTCCATCTTTGGGATCGAAGGGTCAAATGGAATGGGGGTACTGCATCACTCTACATAAAAAATGCTTGTAATCATGATTTGTTTGACGGTAATATCTTTATTCAATGAGGCAAAGAGGAAATTAGAAAGAGGATCTTATTGTAGAACAGTTGTAGGTCAGGTCACCTGGATGATCAAAGTTGAAATTTCCCACTTTAGCTTCCTCAGCTTCCTCCTCAGAAAGTTCTTTGTAGAAACTCTCCTGGCTGATGATAACAACTCTTCTGGATTCTACTGCATCCTGACCAAGTTGTTCCATTATCTTGGCACAAACTGTTGACTTCAAAGAGTAGAGCATTAAATGATAGTTACAGTCTTTTCTACACAGAAATTTTGGGACATAACCTTTTTTCAAAGCTAGTTCATATTACTGCATCATAAGAAAAAAAAATTACAATGACAACAATAGTAAAAATATCTTGAGGGGAGTCTACATCACTAACGTGGTATTCCGTTGGACCTCATAGATTGAAATAAATAATAATAATTATCAACAGTGAATAATTTTATGTA